AGGTTCCTGCAGCAACAGAGACGTCGTCCTCCAGTGGCCCTCCTTCGTCGCCGGCCTCCTCCAGAGGCCCTCCTTCGTCGCCTGACCCACGGCCGGCCTCCAGAGACTCTGCCTTGCCTCCGGCCCCGCGGCCGGCCTCCAGAGCGTCTGCCTCGCCTCTGGCCCAGCGGCCGGCCTCCAGAGCCTCTGCCTCGCCTCCGGCCCTGCGGCCAACCTCCAGAGTGTCTGCCTCGCCTCCAGCCCCGCGGCCGACCTCCAGAGCCTCTGCCTCGCCTCCGGCCCCGCAGCTGGCCTCCAGAGCCTCTTCCTCGCCTCTGGCCCAATGGCCGGCCTCCAGAGACTCTTCCTCGTCTGCCTCCAGAGACTTTTTGTTGCCCTCGCCCACCCTGGGTGGGTTGTTTTTTGGACTCCGTTTCGTTTTCGTCCGTTTCGTTTTAGCCCTCTCTTTGTCTCTGTCCCCTTTAAAAGCCTCCCTCTTCAGTTCCCGTTTTGCTGGATCCTCGTCTAACATCTGTCTGCTTACCTCGTCTCTCCCTGGCTCCTAGAGTTTGGTTTCCCCTGATGTCTCCTTGGTTCTGGTTTGTTGTTATTTTTGTTGGATTTTTGATTCCTGCCTCTGAACCTGTGAACCTCATTAAACCCACCTAAATTCACCTCTGCCTACTTGCCTCTGCTTTTGGGTCCTCAACCCAACACCAAATCCTGACAATTACCTTGTATTCCATTCAAATGGCATTTCATTTTGACATTAAATAGCTGTGTTTTTATAATACAATATTTTATTGTAGTATGTTTTTTATAGTTAATCTTTGTTTATCAAATTAAGGCTGTGATTGCTGATAATCCAAAGTGTATCAACAGTACATTAGATTGTCTTCTGCAAGAGTCAGTGGCAATTAGTGTAGAGTAACTTATACTACTGTAAATAGTAGAAACACAGTTAAATATGACATTAAATATAACATTCAAAGCAATTCAAAGTCCATTAATCTTCTGTAAAGTGCAAAAACATGAAGGCTGGCCATGCTGTTCGTCTTTTCATTTACCTTCCTGCTACTTTAATCAATCCACTTGATCATTCTGGTTGATCCCAACGACGCATCTGAGTTCACATAACCAGGGAAAAGGACAATTGATGGAATAAATTGTAGGAGCCATCAAATTGTGGCTCCTACAATGTTCAACCAATATTTGCTTTGATTGCAGATGTGCAAGCCAAGACGATTTTAGTATAGCCAAATTTTAAAAACGGTTTTCTCAAAGAGCTTTATAGCATCATAACAACATCCTTTGTTCTTAGACCCTCACATTCTCCGATGATGAACTCCCAGAAACCTTTTTATAGAGGGATAAAAGGTGGCATCCCTCACCCATGACAGCCAATTAAATGCAATAAATAATGCATAAAGACATAAAATATATGTGTTGGTATGCACTGATGAAACTGAAGCAAAATGTGGCTTTGCAACATAAAACAATGAAAAATAGGGAGACAGATAAAAATAACACCACCTTCTGCTGCACTTTTCTACTGAGCACTTGTCAGTTTCACACGGTTTTATTTCTGATAGCAAGGAGTAGCTAGCCTAGGCTAGCGCTAGCTTAACATTGCTATGGCTTCTCTCTCTCCCTCCCTTGACTCTTTTCCAACTCTTCCTTCTTCCTCTACTCTCTCTCCTGCTCTCTGTGTCCGATGTTCAGTTATTCCTCTGCCTCCTTTAGTGATAACGGGATGTGTAATAAGTGTAGTATTTTTGTAGCTTTGGAGGCAAGGGTGTCAGAGTTAGAATCCAGGCTTCAGGCTGTTGAACATCCAGGAGTTAAAGTAGGCCCCCCACGTAGCTGTCCTCCAAAAGTGCCTGAGCAGCCAGGCAATTGGGTAACTGTATGCAGAAAGCATAGTCGTGGATCTCTGCCCACTGGTCACCACCAACCCGTTCACGTTTCTAACCGGTTTTCCCCACTCAGTGACACACCCANAAAAGGCAGAAATCCAGTGTTTTTTGTATCTGTATTCTGCTTTATTTAAAAGCTATCCAGTAAGTTAGTTTTTCTTTATATAAATGCTATTTAAGTATCATTAACTGATAGGTTATTGATATTGATTTGTAAAAAGTCTATTCGTTTTGTCTTTCATGTCAATATTTTCAAAAAGTACAGTTTCCCCCTTTTTGTATTTAGACTATAATATAGATATCCAAAACCAAATGCTCAAAAATCTGAATTTTTTTTAACCAGCAAGTGTCTTTTTTAGATAACCGTGAAGCTTTTTATTGTAATGTTTTTCTCTTTTCAAATTACACATGCTTGAAAAAAATTGATCATACAAAGAAATATTACAAACACAATACATGATTTAGAAATGTAATTCATTCCAAAAAAAAAACTTCCTGCCTTCTAGCTTCCTTTTTGTAAGTGTGACAAAATAAGTCCTATTATTTTACTAAGTTTCAGCTTAAACAGTTTAATGAACTCAAGATTAGGACAGGACACATACAAAAATAGTATAATTATGACTAGATTAAACTTTTTTTTTGTTAGAAATATGCAAACTTGTCAGTTGTAGCTCTTAATAAAAATAAATCAAACTTTAAATATCTTTATTTCTGATATACATGCACATCTATAGCATAACATACCAATTACATCTTTTAGAAGCACACCCATGTTTTCATAGATAGATAGACAGATAGATACCTTTACCATTTTTTTTCTTATATCTATAAAATAGTTAGCAAAAACCAGCTATATTTGGTTGTCAACAAAACAAGAAAAAATATCATGACAATGAATCAGGACAGCAACAAGAAGTCATTAGCGCTAATTATTTTCTTTTTCTAATCGATTCTTCTACTCTTGGCTTCTTCGCTTGAGCATAATCAGAGAGGTATTTTACATACAACTTTCTAATTTACAAAATTTGATTAATGGTGTAAATAGTGTCTGATTTNTCTGAATGCAAAATAACTCAAGCTCAGATCAATGAGAGCTGAAAGCAAAGGAACTGGCAGAAATGGTTCAAGAGCTAAGAGAATAAAGTAAATGATCATTTTGTCCCCAAAGCTTTCTGTGTTGTTGTTTAAAATTTGCATCAAAAGTTTCCTCGTGGCCAAACGGTGAGTCTTCCTCTGGAGTTCAGGAAGTTCTTTCTCAAATGTGCTCTTTAATTCCTTTAAACCATGCTGTTTGAGATCAGGCATGGACAGAAGGAAAACCTGAGGAGACTCTATTCCCAGCTCATTTAGTCCTGTGGTGGATAAAGGATATAACAATAATTAATATGAAAGTACAATGTAACATTACATGATAAATACAATTCAAGAAAAGCTGTAAAATTCTGATAGTTTAATTTGTAAAGTCTCCTGTCACCTTGAATGCAGTCCTCCATGATGGTTTGTAGAGTCTTCTCTTCATTGAAATCTGTCCGACTTCGTCCTTCATCCCGTAAGTTATGGTTGATCTTTGAGCGAATAAAGTAGAACTTCTTTCCCATCTTCTGAATCTCATTTGCCAGTTTTACATCATTTTCTCTGAATCGATCAGCTGAGATGATGATGAAGAAGTCAAATTTCTCTAATTCAACACGTTCTACGTATGTATCTGCGGGCCACATATTTGAACCAATTCCTGGGAGATCCCATAAGATGACATTAGGGTAGTCTGGATGACAGTATGATGTGGGATTTATGGTGGTGTTTCCACGCCCAGTAGGTGCAGCTCCCTCATCACTGTTATCTAACCCCCTGAAAGCATTAACAAATGTTGATTTACCAGTGCCAGGTTGCCCTTTAATGCCAATGTTAAGTTTAATATGATCTGTCTTTTGTAAATGTTTTCTAATCTTTATAAGAAGAGCAAGGTCATCTATCATCGTCATCTTTATTATTTTTCTGTATTGTTCGGGTTTTTCCTTGATCAGGTAGTTTGTCGATATTGAACCTTTAAAAAAAAAAGAAAAACATATATTACTAAGTTATTATATTTAATAAAAGACTACAGACATTAAATCTAACCAGCCTGACCCTCCGATACAGTCAAAACTTTTCAGAAGAAAGAAAGAAAATTACTGACATTTCTCGTGGTAAAAAAATACATCATAGGAGGTCAAGTTACATTTATGAAGACTTCTCTTGTAAACAACACATATCAAAATTATAATGAATCCACATAGAGTGCTGTCAAAAGGTATTTTGACATGGTTAACTAGTAAATAGATGTTTTAGACCATCAAACAGATTTTAATATCAGAAAACCTAAATTAAATCTAACCTTATTTATCTTTTAAGCTGAGAAATTATTAATAAAAAACTATTTAAAAGGACACAGGTTAATGTTGAAATATAGCTGTATCTATTAAAAAAAGCATTAGCCTACTTAATATTACCTAAGTCTGGATGTGACAGTTGTAGAGTGAAGTAATGATTGAAATAGAATCTGTCTGACAACATGAAACAAGTCAAGACCAGAGAAGAAACAAAGTCATGTACGACAAGTCCAGCCATTGGTCCGACCTGCAACACACAACCTTCAACTGATGCCTACAGTATGTGGATATTTATCAGGGCAATGAAGCCACCAGCAAATTGAACTTTAATAATGTCTTGCTGTGATATAAAACACTCATTGCCAAATATCATAAGCACTTGATAACAACTGCTGACCAACAACCACTTATTAGCTATAGAAGGAAAATAACTTAAAGGGAAACGCCGTTTTTTTTCACATTGGGCCCTTGATTTTACGTTATTACATCATGTTCTACTCACCCATATGAGTTTTGTGTCATTTGGAGCTGTTCTGAAGATATTCCGTTAGTTATATCCAAGTAACGTCTTCCTATGGGCAACGAGTTGAAGGCACAAACTAAACTGTTCATAATTTATTCTTAATGGTACGCCAGCATTCATAACATGTAGGCCAATCACTGTCCCCCAGACATCCGTGGTTATATTTTTTATATCTTTTAAAAACAAAGCGGAGTGTGTATGACGTCATCTGCGCGCCGGACTGGAGTTGTGACAGGCAGCCCGGGCCAAAGGCGGCTACGCTCTACCCCTTCTATTCATTCTAGCTAATCTGAATCATTCAATTCCATTTAGAGAGCGAGATCATCTGTGGTAGTAGCACTAGACATCTTCTAGGCATGTGAGGAAAACTAGCAGCAGTTCAGCAAACTCCATCTTCTTCTCGTTGTAGCTCTCTTTTGACTTCTGTCTGCTCTCTGTTTAACTCTTTTAAGTAGATTTTCTTCCTTTTGTTTTAATGGTCTTTCCCTCAGTGTTCATATTGTCCTCTGCCCTCATTCAATTTTCTATCAGTCTTCTAATCTT